GGTCAAAACCATGGTCATTACCAAAAACCGAGATCTCAATCCGTCCGGGTCCGGGCATTCGTCAAGAGATGGAGAGATGGAGAGATTGAGAGATGCCATCCAGGGGAATATCTACCATGACAGATTCCTGTGTCGGGTAAGCGTCGCAGAGCACCCTAGCGCGCCGTAAAAGCGACTTATACGTATACAAAAACCGAGATCTTTGGTTTTTTTTTTTTTTCGAGAAAGGGGAATGTACCTTAATAGAACGCTTAATTCTCAAGAAGTCAGTCATGGACACCTTTTTCCCGAAAAATCGGCTGAATTTGACAAAAGTAATGATTTCAATTTCCCAAATTATTTTCGAAGTGATATAATTATTCAATAGTAATCATCGCGTGTCTGATTGGCTGAAAAACAATCGCGGGTATATCAGGTGGTCACTCACTTTTGCTACTCAATGCGGACTCTTATTTTATCTTTGGGTGTAAATAAGAGTTTCTAATTTTGGACTAACCACAAAAGATCGATGAGATTTTCCAATTATTTGAGGCAAAAATGGACTGAGTTAAGCAGAAAGGAACCAACCCACATTTTGGAAAAAATTGAATTATGAGTGGTTTTGAACTCAATCACTGCTCTACTACCTATCGCCAAAAATTCAAAGTTTTTGTCGGAGCGAATTTTGCAGAAATTGAACCTGAAGTTTATCGTTTGCATTGAGTCTTATACAGGAGCCAAACTTTAAACCTCTTTTTCTCGGTTCGATCCCGATGTGGCTTGGTTCCTTTCTGTTTAACTCCGTCCAAATGAGCTTGGGGCTCACGCATCGAAATTACTTGTAATTCTTGCGGGCTTTTTTCCTCATGCCTTGACGCACACGATTACGCGGCTATACAAAAATAAAATCATCCGCGCACCTTGGTTTTGGCAGGTCCGTATCTTTTACGATCGGTAGGCTCGGGGGCAAGGGGATGACGTCACACGCCGTGACCCCAAGTTGCCGCGAATTTTCGAACTACATCCGGAAAGGCCAAAAATACCGTCGGATATTTTTGATAAGCTGACAATGCCTCGTCTATCTCCTGTTAATTTTACGACCATCAAACCTAACAGCGCTGGTTTTAATCGTTCGCCCGCGCTTGAAATATTCGGTCGGCGAATAATTACGCAAAGATGTGCCAAAATATTGCCGCCCAACCGTGATTGACTCAACGCAAAGTGGATCGAGTCAATAGGAGAGGTCGGACAAAATTTGGAAACTTTAAAAGCTTATAACTCCGTGTATACAAAAGTTTAAGGTTCTGAGAGTGGTTCCATTGGTTTCCTCGTGAAATTCTCTTCTTAAAATGCCCCTTGAAAGTTAAAATGTGACGAAAGAAACATCAAAATTTGCGCTTTCAGTCAGAAATGTTTTGTCCGACCTGCTTGATTGACTCGATCCACTGTGCGGCGTTGCAAGTTTGACGGAGGCCCCGCTTTTGTCCCTTTTAAAGAGCCTCCCAAATTTTCGCCCCTTTTTCGGTATTCGATTCGACCATCGAACTAAGGTTTAAGTGGAAGCTTCTAATGACAGAAAACTCAGGAAAAAATTTCAAGATGAGTATTGGAACTGTCTTCGAGTTACGGAGGGGCAAAGGGGTCAAACTCTGGCCCTATTTTTCGCCATTTTCTTGTTGAATTGATGTGTCTACGGGGTTGTTATCGTTGTTTAAACGTGTTATACAGTATACACACCGGTTCCTACTTATTTTTACACGCAAAATCGAGTTTTAATGTTTCGAATGTAATAGATTTTTTAAGATTCTTTACGGAAAATCGTCGATTTTTAGACATTGAAATTGTTCATTTTCGATTCATGGATGACGAAATGCACCTAATATGACTGTAGTACACTGACAACTACGTATTTTTTCTTGTAGAATCGATTTTTTAAGTTAACGAGTCGATATATCAATAGCCTATATCGAATTTTTGCGATTCTTTAGGAATTCAATGATTATTGGTATTGAAAATAGTTATTCTCCATCCGAGAACAACCAAATTTTGGGTTGGAACACATTTCCGGTCGGGTCGATATCCAGTTGAGTCAAGTTTTCGATTGGGGCACATTTCCGGTCGAGCAGAAATTAAGATTTTCGATTTCCGGTCAAGTGAAATTTCGGGTGGATAACGAATCCCGTTGATCGTGGTTTCCGGTCGGTCAGATTTCCGATCGAATCAAATTTTCAGTCGAGTCAAATTTTCGACAGGGACACGTTACCGGTTGGAACAGTGGTCACGTCATATACGGATGGATTACGGTTCCAGTGAATTGGAATTTTGGGATGGGTCGGATTTCAGGTTGGATGGAATTTCCAGTTGGGTCAAGTTTTCGATTGGAGCACGTTTCCGGTCGAGCAGAGATTACGGTTGTCGATTTCCGGTTAAGTAAAATTCGGCCGGACGATTGGTCGATTGATTTTAGTTTCCGGTGGGTAAGATCACCGGTTGAGTAAAGTTTTGGTTAGCAGGGTTAGATCAGGTTTTCGGTTGAGTAGAATTTGTGGTAAATGTGAGTTTCTAGTTAATTTAAAGATTCAGTTAATTGAATCAAGTGTCCCCTTTAATTGAACGGCCCCAATTTTTTAATTGACGATTTGCGTTGTCCAGGAAGATCATCGATTTTTGAATCCAAGAATTCCGAGGGATGCACCAGAAACAAAAAAGAAACACACATGCTGATTAGAAGAGAAAAAAGTACATGTAAACTTAAAGATGGAGATAAATATCTCTGAAATCTTTATCAGTGTATAAGTCGCAGGGAGTCAGCAATCGCCGGCAATTTGCAAGCTCCGTACTTGTCAATTCGTCAAATTGTAATTACCATAACATCGATATTAGTAAAGATTTCTTTACGCCTTCAAATCCAGCGATACTCTCCGCTTTGCCAAGGAGTTAGTTTAGTTGCTTAACCGAACCTAACACAGATTATTGATGACATTTCACGAACTCGCGAGTGTGCTAGCTGCCACAATGTATCCAAAAAGAAGGGGGCTAACGTATGTTTGAATTCAAAGCATAATAATCCCTACTTCCGATCTCGTTTTTTCACTTTAAAACGATTTAATTTGTTGATTAAACACGAATAGATTGCAATTTGCTGGCAATTGCTAATTGCCTGCAACATATATACCTGAGAATGTTTTTGAAGAAATAAACGAGAAAAAAAATTATTGACTGAAAAATCACAATCACTGCCTGTGCAAATGTTAATTAAACAATACTAACGCACTTTATAGATGGCGAAAGTGCAGAAGTGCGAATCCCGGAAAACACGATTTTCCAGGAGAGTAAAAAACTGTCTGCATTCCACTTTACTGTCGGTAGAAGGGTAATAATTCTTGAGGATATATAGCAATAATAAGATGTTTTTTCAAACTCCATCAGCAGTTTAAATAATTTCTCGGACTGTTAGAAAATACGGCAGAAATGCCGAGGTTCGCGTTTTTGGTACAAATCGACACTTCATCAGGAGATACGCATATTTGGAATTAGTGTTTTAAACTTGTTGGTGGATTTGGATCATTTAAATACAGAAAAAAGGGTTTCAAACTTGAAATTCCTTATCAGATAAGATTTAGTTCGTCATCGATGCTCCATCCATCCATGCTTTCCGCTTTCTAAATAGACCAGTGGACAAAGTACATTTTCTTAAATTTTGATTATTCACAGTTACTCAAAGAAAGCAAATTTAATCCGTGCGAAACTTTTTAAATTCACAACCGCCTTTGAGTAAGTTGCGATCTTGTAAACGGCGACTCCTTCAGTTTCGCTTCTGAATACGATGATCGAACAAAGGGACTTAAATTATACAATCTGATCCAGCCGCCTGTGCTCTCTTCTTACGAATGAGACGTAGAGACCAAAAGCAATCTTATTATTTTTTAAAAATAATATTCCTCGGCATTTTTCGGATATGCGGCACGATTTAAAAACCGAAATTATGAACTTTTTGGTACAAATCATTGTACAAGTCCACTCACAGTAGATACAGATGAACGCCTTCAAATCAATCCACAGACTTAATGCAAAATTCTGATACCACTATTCGTGCATCAGGGCAGTCATTTTGCATACCCGGCCATTTGAAGGCGAATCATTGACTTCAAACAACGGGGTAAGAAGCCAGAACCACAATCCTGGCCCATCAGAAGCCATAGCCGGGGGTCCCCCCCCCTGGCCCCTAAGGAGCGAAACCCGGGGGTCAGCCCCCTGGCCCCTACGAGGCCAAACCCGGGGGTCAGCCCCCTGAACCCTAAAGAGCCAAACCCGGGGGTCAGCCCCCTGGCCCCTAAGAAGCCAAACCCGGGGGTTAGCCCCCTGAACCCTAAAGAGCCAAACCCGGGGGTCAGCCCCCTGGCCCCTAAGAAGCCAAACCCGGGGGTCAGCCCCCTGACTCATAAGGAGCCAAATCCGGGGGTCAGCCCCATGGCCCCTAAGGAACCGGTCAGAAACCCGCTTTCATTCAGCAATTTTATTCTTGATTCAAAATAAAATCTCCTTGACGGTAATGTCGGAATGTTTTTTCCTGAGTCAAAAACACTTTCAAGTCACTTTTTTCTCTAATGAAATTCAAAAATTATGCCAAACGTTAATAATACAGATGCTAGGACTTGGTGAGTTTTCTTGGAGTACCGCTCTCTTTTTGCTTGATCTTGATTTATTTTGCGAGGAAAGCTCGTACTCTTAAAGTATGCCTGTCGGACTTGATGCGTTGGAGCGCCTTCAATTGCGTATGAAACTGTGCAGCACCTCTGTTGCGAAATAGTTGCTTGCAGCGCCGGCGGGCAATCAGGCGCACAGGGTGAAGTATCCCTGTTAGGTTTGTAGGCGCCAGCGCCCCAGCGCGTCTTCCGCGCTGGTATCACGCCGCTGGATGACCCACTAAGTGGGATTTTCTGGCCAGAAAAGCTCCACGAGCCCGGTGAATCGCGCGCGGAGCCTCGGAACCACACGCAATCGATTCAGCGCCTAGCATCTTTTTTTTTTTTTTTTGTTTTAAATTCATTTATTTGAATAAGAATACAAATAAACATATAGGATTGTACCGATTGTTATCATATAATCACTATTCTAAGCTGCGCAACACGCGTTTCTAATCTAATCAAGATTAAATCTAAGTCAATGCGAGAGAAGTAATCTCCTAATCTACTTTTTATAAATTCTAGGTCACATACGATAATCGCTTATAACCTAGACATGAAATAAATGTAAAGAGATAGTATACTATCTTTATGAACTAAGGATACTAACTAAGAGATTTATATTTACAGGCACAAAAAAACCAATTACGGAGAAAAAAGGAACCTAGCATAAGTAAACTGATAAAAATCTAATGAGGAATTTACAACCTCGAACGGCGAACAAACAATACAAAAGAACATGAAAAGAATAAAAACCCGAAGGTGTGTAAACGAACGAGAATTGAAAGGATGATCAAGGTATAGAGAGGCTGGCTCCGCGTAATAACGCTGGAAGAAAGGCCTCAATAACCTTCATCATCCTTTCAATCTGTTCAGATTGCTTGATAACTAGTTCCTCTAAAGTCTTAATACGCTTATCGGAAATATTAGGAACTTGTACGTTGATAACAGATTGGGTGTTTGAAACTGTCTTATTCTTGCTTTCTGTATTACCAGCTAAAACTTGAGCATACGATTTTCCCTGAGTTGTTAAGTTTCTCGAAGGGACAAACTGGTGATTGGCAAATTTGGTTTCGGTTGCCTTCACCTTTTTACCAGATCGTTTCTTACGAATCTGTTTGTAAACCTTGCATCCCTTGTAATTTCCCGCGTGCATTTCACCGCAGTGAACGCACGTGGGATATACAGGGAGCAAGATTTTATTAAACTCCTCAGGGCGAGGACAGTCACTCAATGCATGAAAATCCCCGCACAGTAGGCATCGAGGATCTCGATAACACGAGGATCTCGCATGCCCAAAGGCGAGGCAATTCTTGCATTGAATGACCTCCCTACGACCCTTAGGGCGTTCGACAGATACGATGAAATCCTGAATGGATTTCACGTCCCATACTTTTGACACCAAATTATTTGACAGAAAATCCACAAAAAATAAAGGCTGTGGACTTTTCGTAATTTGGTGACGAACTTGGGAAACATTTTTCACAATAAGACCTTTAAACTTTCCCTCAAAAGCTGATTTGATTTTATCAACACTAAAGTCAGCAGGGAGACCTCTTACTACTGCCCTGATTGTCTTTTCGTTTGCTTTCTTGTAAGTATGGAACTTTACATCTTTATTCTGTATAAAACTACTTATTAATTCGTCATATTTAGACGTTGAAGAAGCTTTAATTTTAACCTGCGATTTATTCACAATCTTGATAAACGCATTTTTGTCGATAAGATCGACAACCATGCTTTTAAACTTAGAAGGATCTGCAACAAAAGAAACTAGAATTGGGGGAGGGACCCTATCTTTAGTTTCAGGTTTTTCTATACCTAGAGCACTAAATTTATTATTACTACTATTACTACTACTAGGCACATTAACACTAGGTTGTCTTTTATCCTTGGTCTTCTTAGGAGGAACTTTCACTGGTGAATCTGGGTCGTGGCGGGTCTTCCGCTTCGAAACCACGAGTTTCCAGGCAGGATCCGAGGGTGTAGAATCCATCGGTTGCGTTTGAATAGAAGCTGGGCCAAGAATACAGGAATCCTTACTCTTATGTCCAGAATTAACCTTCTCTTTCACTGCATTTGAAGCACCTGAAGCTTGCTTCGTGTCAATGGCAGTGAAAAGATTTTTAGCTGATTTTTTCGGTTGAAAAACATCAGATTCATCGTCGCTATCACTAACGCGGGTGTAAATAGTGGTCCAAGGACCGGTCCAAGAGCACTTTGTGAAGCAACGTTCACATGACTGAAAAAGCACAAAATGTTCACAGAAGGGATTTTCAAGTAAACAGCATTCGTGACATTCGTATCCCAAAATCTTGTGTTTGCAGCGAAGAGGGGGTTTAACGCGGCGACTAGCACCGCCTGAGTCCTTACTCATCGCTGTTGACGAAAAGGCACATAGAGCAAGAACGACTTGACAACACGTCACAGAGAGGAGCACACACAACGAGCACGTCCGCTCCGCTTCGCTTATCACAGCGAACTCCGCCTAGCATCTACTACCACGACTTCGCCTACTATTTTGGATTTAACACTAATCTCGAGATTTTTCTTCTTATTTATGATCGAGAAAAATCGACAGTGACAGTGGCACCAGGTACCGGTACCATTCTTCCTTTGTATGATTTCAGTTGTATTCAAGCGATTGTTTCCTTTTCCTTTCTTTATTTTGCAAAACGAAAGTTTGAATCAATTGAACTCTTCCACAAGGAGAGTTTATAACAGTTTGCAAGATTGCTTGTTTATTTAGGTTATAGCTAGGTCTCTCGTCGTGCAAACCTGACTGTCAGCCATCAAGAAAAACTGTCCGCATAGGTATACGCGGTAAGTTAGGAAAAGCGTGTTACAAACTACGCAAATTGCGCGTTATGAAGTGGCTTTGACACTCTTTAGATGTGCCTTACGTGATTTTTGAGCGAATATTTCCCTTAAAAAATATGTTCAGTTGGCTGTATCTCTTTCTAGCAACGGACCCATTTTCGGGGTCAAAATCGAAAGTTCTCCAATCTGGCTAAAACCAAATAAGTCCCCATAGAAATGACTCGCTAAGGGGGATTTTCAGATCGCAAAGACTCCACGAGGCCGGTGGATCCCACGATCGGCGAGAAAAGGCGCCTGTGATGAACTTTCAGCACTGAAAAAAATTCTCGGCGTTTTTACCAAGGTCCGTTGGTACGTTTACCATCTCACTTTTTTTTACCAATTATTGGTAATTTTACTAAGACAGACTGGTAAGCTTACCTAAAAATCGGTATTTTTACTGTTTTTTCAGGTAAGAATACCACTTTTATTGGTAATAAATTCCCGGTAACTTTGCCATTTTATCTCGGTAATTCTACCACAGTTGATAAAAAGTATTGGCGTTTCTACCAAGGTCCAGTAAAATTACCGAGAAAGTTCAATAATTTTACCGAGATTTCTCGGTAAAATTACCAATTCCATAAATGGTAATTTTACCAAGAAAAAACTGGGATCAAATAGAGCCCTGAATTCTTGGTAATTTTACCCTTTTCTTAGTAAATACACCGAGATTTTTTTTTCAGTGAGAAAGGGTCAAAAACACTCGTTTTTTATCGTTTCTCGCCTCAGGAAGCCGTGGGGACCTTCGGGATCACAATCGGGAGCAAGCGATTCTACGGCTCAAACTACCAAGGATTCGACACTAATATCCAGATTTTTTTCCGGCCGAAACTCGGGGAAAATCGACGGGGAAAATCGAATATGGACTGAATTTCCGGGGACAAAATTTAAAGGGGTTTAAAATTAAACTTATCAAGAGGGATCGATTTACAGAGTGTTCTCAACGAACACCTTAATAATCGATTCTTTACTATAGTTACAGATGGAATAATATCGATAATCGATCATTCACGCCTCGCCACTGCCCACGACACCATTCATTTCAGAACTTTAGCTGCGTTTTTTACGAACTCACCTATTTTCGTTCTCAACAGTTACGTGGTTTCTTTCTAGTATTGATTCCAGCGATGACTGAAATTCAGTGGCGTGGCGTGCTTTGCGATATATATCGATAATCCCCCATTTGAAGCTATGGTAAAGAATCGATCATGAAGGTGTTCGCGGCGAACACCCTGTTTATCGATCCTTTTCCATAGGTTTCAATGGCAGATCAATCGATAAATCGCAAATCACGCCACGCCACTGCTGAAATTGTGCCCGTAGTATGTCGACGGCCGGCGAATCTCGCTTGAGCGATACGCTATCCATCAGTAGCGAGGCGTGAATGAGCGATTATCGATATTCCCCATTTGAAACTGTGGTAAAAAATCGATCACTAGGGCGTTCCTTGCGCGCCACCTGTTTATCGATCCTTTTCCATGGGTTTAAATGGGAGATCAATCGATTGCAAAGCACGCCACGGAGTCCTATTAATTCGCTTTCGGAGAACACCATGGATCAAGGCTACTTAAGCGTGCTACTGGCAATGCGTTGTCCGTTCATTGATTCATGGCGTGAATTATCTCCTATCAATTCGATTAAATAACTATCAAAACCCCCCTCTCCCGACCCCTCCCCGGAATCCCCCTAGAGATTTGATTAGGTGCCGTTCCTCTTAGAGCGCGTATCAAATCTCAGTTAGGTCCAGGCCGCAAAAGATGGCAGCCTCACAGAACCGAACAACGTGCGCAAGTTTTTAACGTGCGTTTAAAGAAGTATCCCCGTGCGTGTGTGTGTGTGTTTTTATATCTTTCATTTTTGATACTGTCATTCCCCATTAGTTGCCGCTTTTTGTATACTTGCATTCTCTCCATGAGATCGAAGACCAGGTGATGAAGTTTACATGAAAAAATGGAGAGGTATTGTTTTTTTACTTCGGTCGCAGCCCTCGCTGTCCCGTGTGTTTTCGCGGTCGTGCAAATTGGTAAGTCGAATTTCCGATCCCTGCTTCATTGTACTAGACTGCCGTGTTGAGGAAAAACGCTGTGTAAACCTTCGAGAGTTGCCAAGTTTCCTCCGATAAAAGATTTATTATTGAGAGGAGTTATGAATAATTTCGCATGAAATTCTCAGATAATTTAGATCTGGTCGCGAATAAAATTCTCTGAAAAATTGGTGGAAAAATATTAAAATAATTCAATGGAAATTTATATTTTACCACAGGAAATTTGGCAACATCTAGAGGCTCGTACGGCGTTTTTCCTTAGCATGACAGTGAAGGACTGAGGAGTACGCCCTGCTAAAAATGGTGAGTAGGCACACTTCCTAGGTAGCCCAGGGTGCAATGAATGGACCAATAGACAAGGTACGAATTTAAGCATTCTAATACATGTTTCTTGACCAGAATTTCACGTAGAACACGATTCGCGCAACGAAAATTACCGAAATCAACTCCTAACAAAGATATTAACGTTTTTATTTCACATTGGTTACGAGGAATTTGAACTGCCCGCTCACAAGAAACTCAAAGCTCTACGTGAGTCAAATCGTGCACTACAACGGTTTCAGCAAGCTTCTCAATCAAGCTATGTTCATTTCCCACCATGTGCTGTTCAAACTATAAACAACTTGCTATAGCTGAGCTAAACCGTCAAGATTAAGGTTGCCAGATTTTTATATCGCAAAGACTGTCATGATAACGTTTATCGCGCGATGTGAATCACGTAGAGCATTGAGTTTTCATGAGCGGGTGGTTTGAATTCGCACATCAAGAATCATTAAATATCTTCATAAGGAGTTGATTTCGGTAATTTTCGTTGTGCGCATCGTGTTCTACGTAAAATTTTGGTTATAAAACGTGTATCAGAATGCTAAAATTCGTGCCTTGTCTACTGGTCCTTTGCCAATACATGCTTAAATTATTGGCATTGTAACGGGAGTATGGCGCATGTGGATTGCATTTTGCAGTAAGAAACCTGCACTATTTCCGGCCAATTACAGAAACAACATACATGCCATTGGTTCCCCTATGCAGATATGTGCTTTTGTGGGAGAGCCAGAGATAGTGGCTAATTATTGCAAAACGTAATCCAGATTGTCTACTCACTAATTGGAGCACATTTTGCAATAAGGAATCACTATTTCTGGCTCATTTTAGAAACAACACATGTGCCACTGGTTTCCCTACGCAGAAAGGTATTTTTATGGAAGAGCCAAGGCTGGTCGTTCCTTATTGCAAAATGTAATCCAATTGAAAAGGCTCTTCGTACTGAAATGTATTGCGATAAAATGTAATATACTCAGCAATTTTTTTTGCAATGCAAATTTTCTACCATTCTTACACATTGAAGTCATTTGATTGATCGTTTAAAATCTGGCTCAATTCACCAAATGATGGGAATATATTGCAATTTCATGGTGAAAAGCTTGCAATTTTATAGCTATAAACAGACAGCGTTCAGCAAAAAGGAACCAAGCCACATCAGCCATTGCCAAATTTAATTGGGCATTTTAATTTTTTCCAAGAGAACTTTGTGCGGATTCCTTTGAAAATTTCAAGGAATTCGCTTCGCACAAGGCGAAAAATTCACTGAAATATGCAAAATAAAAAAAAAATCCGCACAATCGTTTTCATGAAATTAAATTGCCCGATTATATTTGGCAATAGCTGATATGGCTTGGTTCCTTTCTGCTGAACGCGGTCCGATAATTTCAATTTTTCCGATGTATTGTGCCATTTGAGTCCTTTTTAGCCAAAATATTTACATCAGAAGAAATTCTGATCATACCACTAGAATATTCTCAGTATCTAGTTCTAGCCTGTCATTTCTCAGTTTTCGAGAAGAGGGTCTTCGTAAAATTTCAAAGTTGTCACGTTTTATACCTTACTCACGGAGGTGACAAGGTTTCGGAGACCCTGTCACGTCCCGGTCAAAGTATTCCAAGCACCACGCGACGTTTCAAATTTTTCGCCGCCATTTTATTTTTTTACAGAGAAATCGTTCAACGAAATTCTTCGGAAATTTCACTGAATTTTCTTTGGGCTGCTGATAAAATTAAGTGAAGTTTTCAAACAGATTCAACCAAGAATGTCTCTTTAAAAAAAATAAATTTAATATAATTTAATAAATAAATTAAGAAAAAAAAAAATTTATAAAAGTCGCATCGCGCTTGTGATACTTCGGCCGGGTAGAGATGACATCAGGTACTGGTGTGTTTCATATGTTAAGAGATTTCATTTGAGTCACACGATTCAGTTCTTTTGAAGCCAAATGAGCTGATGCTGATTGTTCTTCTATTTTTCCAGACTATTCGCCGATTTTACTGACGGGACAACAGCAGGCGGTTGAAAATTTGATCGAGCGAGTAATTGGGAATGCAAGTCGTTTATTTAATGTGTCTATAAACGAAAATCTCAGCGAAGGAAACAAGGCCGCTTTTAAGGTATGTCCTTGCCTATCATGGCGATTTTTTAACAATCTTAATGCCGAGAAATACTAGGTGCCTGACATGTCATCACGTTAGTCCTACCGCACGGAGAATAAAAAAGTAAAAAACTAACGAAGAAACGCAATCATCAAACTTAAAAAAAAAACGTTGTTCACATAATATAATAACAGTTGGAAGGGTTAAAATAATAGGGGCTTAAATGCATTGCAAAGTTGCAGAGTTTCGCCTGACAATTAATTTTTCTGATCAATAAAAAGTGAGTGTTTTATCTTGAAACTTTCAAGAAATACTCATCTATTCCCGAAAAAAATTTCAAGAGATTTTTAAAAAATTTGCAACTGTCTTCCAGTAACTGAATGGTCTGACGAGAGAAACCCGGCAATGTTGCAGTGCAGTTACACGGAAAAAAAATTGCTGATTCAACAATTCAATTGCTAAAAACAGTGAGTGCAATGTTTCAACGCAGATTTTACAACAAAAAAGTGCTACTTTAACCACATTGTAAACTAGGTAATTTAACCGCAGGGGTGGTTAAAGTAGCATTTTTTTGTTGTAAAATCCGCGTTGAAACATTGCACTCACTGGTTTTAGCAATTAATTGTTGAATCAGCAAATTTTTTTTTCCGTGTAGGTTCTTCTAGTCCTGGTTTTTTCAGTTTTAAAAAGTGAAAAACAGCAGAGGAGAGCTAACGGTAATAGTCCTAGAATTGGACGCATTTCTGTCAAACGGAACTATGTGCATTATGAAATGAGCCCTGTTATGCATATATTCTTATGGGTCTCAGGGCTCTTGTCTTAATGCATAATTCCGTTTGATAGAAATACGTCCAATTGAGATAAAAGCCATAGGAGGCAACTACATCTTAATTTTCCGAGGATCTAGCTAAATAGTCATCTTTTCTCCGCACATCCCGCGGGACACATTTTTTCCCGCGACTGGCTTGTGAAAATGCATTCTTTTCTGAAATATTTAAAGATAACTCTTCACATGTCCTTGGATAATTGCAGTGGAAATCCCCCAAAAATAAAACCCGACGCATTCAGTAAGAAACTGATCGTTCTTCGTATGGTAATTAAGCCACGCTTGCGAACATAAGTAACCACGTAATGAAGACCGTCTCCAATCTATCTACTCATCGTGCAATTTAAAACATAAAAATACAGCGTCCCAAAATAGTTGCACATCAGAGAGTCTACGTGTTTTCAATGATAGAAATGGGTATGGCATAATGCTGCGATGACGTCTGATTTGGACCTCTCAAGCATGTGAGCGACTCTTCACCGTTCAGGCGCTGTTGCTGCAATTATTCGCGCTCCCGTGTATTCCTCGGTTGCATACTTTTGGTATTGAAGGCTTTTTGAGATCGTAATCAAACTGGATAATTACTCGGCACCGATGATGGGTAAACATTTCTAGTCTCAATTAGAAATACGCCCACGTTATTCTAGATGTTATTCATTTAGTCAATAATGGACGTCATTGAGGAATTCATTCAATAAAGTAATTATCCGTGAGAAGACATTAATTAATACTATGAATAGTATCAAAAGTCATGGCACAGATTGAATCCGAAATCCTTGATGTCTGTGAAGAATTATTCTTTTGGTGATATGGACAGGCAGACAGGCATAATCTTAACATGTTAACTGACGTATTAAAATGTTTGAGTGTTTCTGCTGTTTCAGCTCACCAAGGAAACGTCTTCAGATCAAGTTTTCATTGAGGGTTCATCCAGCGTTGCCATCGCATGGGGATTTCATTATTACTTAAAACATTTTTGCGACAGCCATATATCTTGGGATTATGATGAAATCAATCTTCCTCAACCTTTACCTGAGGTCAACATCACCGTGAAAGCCAATGACATGTACATAATCTTTTACAATTTTCAAATTTTTTAGAGTTTTTTCAAAAGGCAACAATTGGAAGCAGGTCTCAAGGAATCTTAAACGTGTGAATTTTTGAGGAGAAATATTTGAAGAAAAAGATTCTTTGGGGCCATAAAGTTGATCGAGATTATTTTAATTTTTTCACTTGTCTAGAATTTTCCAGGAAACCTGTGCATATTATTCCTTCAGTTTTTTGGAGAATTTTAACCGGAATCAGATCTAAATTTTCTGAAAATTTCAAGAGATAATACTCATAATTCTCTGGCGTTCTTCCTTACGATAGCAGCATATGACAGTTCTTTGGGGTTTTTTTTTGATGCACTTCAATTTTATAAACAGATTCTTCAAATCGGAAAAAAAGAAGCGCAAATCGCAGGTGTTTTGGGTACTTGGTGGAGGAGAGTCAAAAGGAAAAAATCTGAGTCAGTTTGAAATCCTTGAAGCCTACAAAACATTGATGGGCTTGGTGGACAAGGCGCATATAAGTGCAGTTTTTGAAAAAAATGAGTTATTCATGAACTAACCATTGACTATTGACCCAAAACTATTTTGAAAGTATGTTCTGTGAAAAATTCACAACTAAAATCCAACATTTCTTGAAATAGCAAAAACTGCACTTATGCGCCTTGTCCTCCAAGCTCCTCAATTATTGTGAGAGCATTCGCGCTGCAAATTTTCATTTCTTCCATTTTACTTTATCAGAGATTCCGCGATTCCTAGAATAATTCCCGAATTCTATACTTTAGTTCCAAGAAAAATTTCATTTCTTTCCAAAAATTCCGGAATACGCCCGATTTTAGTTCCGAAAGTCATCTAACATGATAAAAAATTAATCAAAATTTGATCAAATAATCGGCCAAACTCACAAAAAGCCCCAGAATTCCGGGAATATTCCAAAAATAGCTACAAATTCCGGGACACTCCAGGGAAAATTCCGGAGAATTTCGAAATTCAGAACTAGTTCCGGAAAGTGGGAGCACTACAAATTTCGAAAACTTCCGACTGTTTATCATAGGAAGAAACAGAAATTGAACATTTTAAAGAAGCTTTATACAGTGTCCTTTTTTATTCAGCTGGCGATACTACCAAAACGTCTGCACCTGGAGTTACAGTTATGTTTGGTGGGACTGGGGCCGGTGGGAGCGAGAGATCGACTGGATGGCGCTCAACGGAATTAACATGGCGTTGGCATTCAATGGTCAAGAGGCCGTGTGGAACAGAGTCTACAAGAAATTCAATATGAAAGAAGCGGATATCGATAAGCACTTCACTGGCCCTGCATTTTTGGCTTGGTACTTTTTTCATTCACGTTATTTAAAATAACTTTGTTAAGCTGTTTTTTCTTAGTGCTTGGCACTTTCTATCGATTTATAGAGAACTCGTAAAACGGCACTCTTAGTGAAAATTTAGACAAGTTTGAACACTCAGAGGGATGATACTACTAGAAGGGATTGGTTCCGGAATGATTGCGGGGATGGATCCAGCAATTTGGCAGCACAGGATTTCTTCCATTTAAATCTATGTTATAAATGATCGATTCTTGTCGGAGCATCTGGCCCTTCAAAGAATCGATACATTTCCACAGGTTTACATGGAGTGATAGCAATGTTGTCAATTTGCTGGATCCTTCAATGAATGGTTGAGTGCTTCAGATGACGGAAGTTGAAAATGATGGTCTATCTGATATCGTAGCTGAGAAGCTAAATACGAACCAACTTTCATGTCAAGCTGATTCGTCACAGTTTCTGGCGTGGTTGAACTGGCGTGCGATATATCGCATCGATTGAGTGAAAAATTTCGGCAGATTTTGAATTTTTAGCCAAAGAAAGGATAGTAGCCCCTGCGCATGAGCCTGAGGAATCATTCTAAACCAACCAATTAGCAAAATGGGCCTGTTGCAAACTTTTGCTAGAGCAAAAATAAGAGTTGTTTCTTGTAGATAATGCCTCAAAAATCACGATGAGCGCATCGGCAAAGTCTGAAATGCACTCATAACTTCACAATCTGCGTAAGAAATTTGCATTTTTTTAAGCTTCCCGCTTCAAAAACGATACTACGGCATAGGTGAACATTTTGTTAGAGGAGTCGCTCCATCGTCGGCGATATTCATCATGGCCGACGCTTGCACGCAGTTCCGCGCGTAATTCAAGGAGAGTTCAAGGTCAATCAATTCGGGCGTGGAAAATATGAACGTTAACACACCGATTGTTATCTGGTCTAATCCAGTTCAGGTGTTATCTCGTCC